CTGGCCCGGGAGTGAACGCACACAGACTTGGGAGGCTTGCCCGACACCATAAGGCTTGTTGGTGTCTCGGTTGCAATTTAAAAAACAAAATTCCTGCCGGGCGGTGGTGGTGCACGCCTTTAATCCCAGCATTCGGGAGGCAGAGGCAGGAGGATCTCTGTGAGTTCGAGGCCAGCCTGGTCTCCAGACCGAGTGCCAGGATAGGCTCCAAAGCTACACAGAGAAACCCTGTCTCGAAAAACCCAAAAAAAACATAAAACAAAAAACAAAAAAATCCTTATTACTGCATACACAAAAGACATGGCGTTCTTTTCACTTTTACGTGGTCGTCTTGTCTCATTTGCTTGACTGAACCTTTTTCTAAGTGCTAGGCTGCAGTGGAGTTAATGCAGTGGACATGTTCCCTATTCCCTATTTTGGCGTGCAAGCAGGAGGGAGGAATGTCTTACAAGACTTCTTTGGACTGTGCATGCGAAGACACCACAGAATTATACATATGCTTTTCTGTTGTGTATCAAACATTCTCTGGAAGCCAGGAGATACTGGTGTATGGCAAATAAGTTCCTACTGATGTTAAACACTTGTTTTGGTTATACAATAGAAGAATGATTAGTGGCGGTTTTATTGGAAACTCATCTCCCATTTCTCTTCATTTTTAGTGATTTCCAGAAGTAATAGTTATAACCATGATCTTTAGGATGTAAGCACTAGGGGAAAATATTTGTTACATGTTTAATTGTAAACTTTATAGTAAAAATTAAAACTACTGAAAGTTTAAATGTTCTGACTTTTGTCGATTTGACAAAGCAAGCTCTTTGTTAAATAAATGCTATTGATTAGGCAGCCCATTTGTGGATCAGTACTTTAGCTATTAAAGGAAAATCTCCTGGGGCATGGTAGTATACACATGTAATCTAAACACTAAGGAAATAAAGGCAAGCGGGTTATCAGCTAGAAGCAAGCCTGGGCTACCTAGCAGACCTGTAAAAAGTTTTGTGTGCTTACTTTAAAAGATTACAATAATAATCAGGCTGTTCTTAGAACTTAATTTGTGGTTTTAGTATGAGTTTGTGAAACTCAATACTGCTGGTTTCTCAATGTTATTTGTTTTTATCCCATTAGGAAAAGTTGGCAGCTAAGAAAAAACTTAAAAAAGAGAGAGAAGCTCTTGGTGATAAGGTAAGTAAGGTTTTAGCCATATAATTTGTCTTAATATTAAGTAGTGTTTCCTGATGTTTATGTTGCTTTTTTTCTAAAACATTTCAGGGGTTTAAAAATAATGTAACAAATCTCTTTCTACTCTTTACCCAATTTAGCAAATAGTGGTGAAAATCCATTGCATATTCTCAAGGCCAACCACTCATATGAAATTGTTTAAGTCTCCCCTGAGGTATACCTCACTTAGTGTGTAGTGTACAAACAAATAAGCACAGTAATGCTGTTGCCCTTCAGGAGGCTGTGGGATTTGGGGACTCCCCACCTTAGGCATGAGGGTTTAGCTCTTATGACTCGAAGCTGAAAGAACTACTAAATACTTGTGCATTGTTGCACAGCTAAATTTTTCATTTTTCAAAGTTTTTACACATATGCTTAGTTTATAATTTATACTTATAAAAATTTTAGGGCATGTGGTTCTCCCCACTTCTAGCTCATGTAAGCACCAAGTAAGAATAAGGGTTCCTGAGGAAGGCAAAAGTGTTCACACTATACACAAACTAAGCATTCTACTTTTTCATGCATTGTCTTAATAGTATCAGTTTAAATCATAGAAAATCATCAATATTAGGCTATTTTGACCTTCAAAGTTCTAATATATCGTGTAATATTAATATGTCTGAAACTCCAATAATCAGCTAATTGCAGCAAATTGGTATGCTAATCAACTTTTAACATTATCACTGGCCCTGGGTTGGGGAAGTAGCTTAATAGGCTTTCGACTAGAGTATACAACGCCCTCCCTAACAAACAACACAAATCAGTTTGGGAACTGAAAGATGACTTCCTAGAATTACCTTCAAAGATTAATAAGGGCCAGCAAGATAACTCATTAAGGTAAAGGTGCTTGCTGCCAAGTATGGCAAACCGAGTTTAATCCCCAGAACCCTGAGTTGGAAGGAGAGAAGCGACCTCATAAATTGTACACCTTAAACACATATACACACCCAACGTCCTAAATAATTTACCAGTTCGTATTTCCTTCATATCACTGCATAGTGACCATGTATTTTGAAGTAGTTTTAGTATATCGTAAGTCTGTTCTTCTTGACAGTTGCGTTTCTTGAGCTAAGCTGCATGGTAATTCCGAAGTGTCTGGTCATTGCAGTGTGTTGGCAATTACAGGGTTGTTGGACATTTGCTGTACTGATGTTTATTTCCATTACAAGTGACTGCCTCCTGCAGACCTTTTATTTCTTACTATGAATTCCCCCAGACAGAGTTACTCAGCTGCTGGGTAAACTTCTGTCATATTTCTGAATAGATTTCAGGAAGTATACAAACAGTCCTCTAGATTTGTAACCTTGTGATTTTTTTTTTCCATTCTCTTACTTTCCTTTTTGCTGTTAGGTATTTTTCTTAGAGATGGCTAATTTTTGTGATGTCTGCTACTTCTGCCTGTTTTTAAGTCATTTGGTTCCTATTTACCGTGTGTACGACTCTTCAGATTGTTAAAAGGTAGCGTTGCCACTCCATTTTGTTGCAGGGATTTATGTGACAGCAGTTGTGGTTTGAAATAAGGACCAGATTGTTTAGAGGTTATTTGAATACTTTTTGTCTCCCAGCTGTAATGTAAATGCTTCTACATAAAATGCTTCTAAAACCCTTGCTTCTTCCCGTCTTACTCAGGCTCCACCAAAGCCAGTTCCCAAGACCATCGACAATCAGCGAGTGTACGATGAAACCACAGTGGACCCCACTGATGAAGAGGTAATGTCAGAGATTCCAGTGCTCACCCTGGTGTTGCTGTAAGAGCAGGGAACCCTTTCTTCCCCACCTCTGTGTCCCTTATCCCTCTCTGTTGCAATCTCAGAACATTTGGAGTGGTACCACATCATGCCAGCATGGGACCTACACACGGTACTTCACTTAGATTGTTCTTAAACACTGAAAATATATCTCAGTAAATTTTGTGATCTCTTCCATGCTGGCTTTGCTGACTGGAACTTCTGACACAGTGTTCAGTAAATGGGAAAGGCAGTGATGGTGTCCTTGCCTTGCTCCTGAGAGGAAAGAATAGTGCCAATACAGCCTCCTTGGTGTGTACGTCAGCCGTGTAGGTTTTCCTCTCATGCTTTAAAGAAATCCCATGTATACTTTGTTTTGTCATGAGTGAATATAGAATTCTATCTTGGAAAATATTGAGATACTTAGGTGTTTCTTCCCCATGTTACCTTTATGTATCTGTTGGTTTTTCTAACGTTGACTAGATACCTGAGTGGCCTCTATGGGTTTTCTGATATTAAAAGCATCTCGTGTTCTTGGGATAAGCCCACCTGTGTGTTTGTGCTGATGACAGCGTCTTAAGTACATCTACAGCTCAGCCCTCAGAGCATTGCTTTTAAGTTTCTAGCTGTTCCATGCTTCCCCAACCCTGATTTGACAAAGCCTTGTGTTCTCACCTTTGCCCCGCTAGTTGTGATTCTTGTCTTCTGCTCCGAGCTGCTACCCCCATCCTGGAAGCTGGTACTGCTGATTTCTCCCGCCAGTTCATCAGGTGGGAGTAGTAGGACTGGTATTCTTGCCCATATCTGTAGCTATTTTGCAAGAATACACATATCTTAGTTTATGCCCTGAAAGTATTTTTTGATAGCTACCCAGTTTATACTCGAATTGTGCAGGTAGTCAGCCTCTTATGTCACCACTACTGTCTTCTCCTGCACCTGTCAGCTAATAGTCAGTCAAGCAACACTTCCAAATCCAGGCTCAGAGAACGTTTGACATAAAATGATCTTTCCTCTGTTCTCAGGTGGCTTATGATGAAGCCACGGATGAGTTTGCTTCCTATTTCAACAGACAGACATCTCCTAAGATTCTCATCACGACATCGGACAGACCTCACGGGGTAAGCACGTTGATTAGTGTAGTCCAGAATTGTCCTGCCATATTTAAAATGCTCCATTCGGAAAGGTGAAATAGTTAATTGCCTTTGATAACAACAGTGACTAAGTTAAACAAAACTAACTGGTGATATGTAGGGGTAGGGTTAGCTTCATGCTGGGTAGCTCCTTGTTACCAAGTGCTATCATGATGGTTGTTTAGCAACATCTGCAGCCTCTGTCCATTATAAGCCAGCAGCAGCCCCACACCCCTGCACAAATCCTAGCCACAAAATGCCTCCAGATATTGCCATGTCTCTGTCTCCATGAAGCAGCACTACACCTGTTGAAAGCCTATGCTTTAGGATAATTGGCCTTTGAAGCATGAGACTTGTTCTGCTTTCATTGTTCTCCCGTCTTCCACTTTGGGCAGTATTGCCTTAGAACCGTCATTATGCCTGTCCTTGTAACTATGTCCTGACTCCTCCTCATGTTCAGTCTTCTTCTTTTCTTACAGAGAACAGTACGACTCTGTGAGCAGCTCTCAACAGTTATACCAGATTCACATGTTTATTACAGAAGAGGACTGGCTCTGAAAAAAATTATCCCACAGTGCATTGCAAGAGATTTCACAGACCTGATTGTTATTAATGAAGATCGTAAAACACCAAGTATCCTTTGGGTTTGTTTTTAAGGAAATTTTCTTGTCCCTTTTTCCTCGCTTGTTTTTAAACATACTTAAAAGACTAGGAAAAGGATTCCTGTCCGTTTTACAATGGACATTTTTCCGTAGCATTGCAACTCTATCCAAGATGCTGTAACATTTTTATTCATGAAAACATTTATCAGGCAAGTGTCACAGCTGAAGCACTGCTGTAACCTTGGTGAAGGATCTAACAAGAGCCAGCCTGCTGTAGTGAGTCCAGGCAAACCGGCGTTAACTAATGACACTGTTGCAGCCACATGACAGGAGGAGGGCTTCACAGGGACACTTGAGCCAGGTGTGACGCGTGAGGCAGAGGGAGGAGTGGTCAGTGGGAAAGGAGGCAGCATGAAAGCACTGGCCCAGTGGACACGGTAGATTTTGGCGTAGCTTCATCTTGGGTCGTCAGGAAGCATGTCATTCTTGGGAGGAAGGAGTGAAGCCATGTTGTGTGGCTGGTCGTGGTGTGATGCTAGGAACGGGAAACTTCTGTGAGTCTCACATTGACACATGTGTCACCTGACCCCAAGGTATCTCTGTTGAGATGAAAGAATATAAAATACATCAGCCTTTTTTTTTTTTTTTTTTTTTTGTAGTTGCTATTATTTTTGAATAGTGCCTGTCATTTCATTATCTAGGAGATGACAATCGGGTGAGTCAGATTAGTAAAGCATTTGAAAACATAGCAGGGGGATTTTCTGTTCTGCCACAGGACAACACATCCTTTTTCTCACCGTTCTAATACACTTCTCACAGCTGCCATTCTTTTAATGTAACTTAAGTGTATTATTTTGTATGCCTATATTCATTTTCCAGAAACTAAAATAGAGAAAAACTAGCTTTTTAATGTGTGGTGTTTGTTGACCAGTTCTAATTTTTTGTATGGCTAATTATTCCAGAAAAGAAGTGTTTGAAAGTGATTGCTGTCTTTATAACTGCTTCCCTAAATATAACTGCAAGGTCAGTTTAACAGCTGTCATCATTTAAAGCTGCTAATAACAAGCAATCATCATTTTGTTTTTTCCTTGCTTTAATGTTTCATATAGGCACACAAATGACACCATTCCCAGCTTTTAGAAGGCCTGCCTGCATTGTCTTGGCAATATAAGTCTTTTTATCTGAAATGCTGTTGTTTGTTTTATATTAATCACCTTGTAGGACCAGCTCACCGTCCCTTTTCTTCATTACTGAAACGTGCACAGTGACTGCTTACTGTTATTTGTGTTAGTTCAATAATGCAACGTAACGTATGTGCCAAACAAACAAAACCAATTTATTTGGGAACCTGTGAATTTGGAATCTGTACTTTGCTTTTGACACAAGCCACACTTTAATAGGAATGTTCTAGGTAGAATTCAAGCCTTTACAGAAGTTGGGGGAAATTATTTTACATCTGCTGCTCTGCTTACCTCTCATGGTCTCTGAATGTCCAGGCAGTGAGAAAGTACTTGGCTCTTCTTCATGACACTGAACCTGGAGTGAGTCTTTAAATTGCAGAACTCAGTATTTGTTGTTAGCCTGTTTAAAAATAAGCAAAAACCAGTTCTAACACCGGGGTGAACAGAAGTTGGGGAGAAAGGTATTTTCCTGACTCATAACTGCCACTTTAAGCAATGGGCACTGTGGTACGTTAATTCTAACTGCATGAAAAGGTGGGCTTTGCAGCAGTCCTTAACGAGAAGCAAGGTACTGCAAGTGTTAGAAATAACTGGGCAGCAATAGCTTCATATATGTAGCATATAAGCTTGTCTGAGGACCTTCACGTCGGGAAACATTTGGGAAACTTGATATAAGAAATGTAGTTTGTACCAACGTTACTGTGTCAAACTGTTGTTGTCTTTATTCTGAACATGAGTCAGTGATGACAGATAGTAGGAAATTAGCTACTGCTATTCAAACTGTGATATGTAGATTTTGACTTGTCATTAGAAAGTTTGCGGCAGATAAAATGGTCCAGCTAAGTTCTACATGGCTTATTATTAGAGAATCCAGGGCCCCATCCAGACTTGATTACCATCTATATTAGAAAATGTACTTGATGTAGAGAGCACCAACTGTAGCCTTATTTTAATGATACAGGTGGGAAATACCAATTAAGAGAAGTCAGGTGGACGTGGTTGTAGAAGTGAAAGTATTACGTGAGGACAGTAGTACAGGGTGGATGAGTGGCAAGCTGAAGAGAACTAATGATGGCAGCATTGTTTGTAAAGCATAAGTGTGTGCGCATAGATGTGAAATGGCTTGATTAAGGGATAGTCTTATTTTTCCACTACTGTGACAAGCCACCATGACTAAAGCAACTTAGAAAAGAAAGCTTTTAATTAGGGGACCGCTTACAGTTTCAGAGTGGGACCATGACTATCATGGCAGCAGGCAGGGAGTTCCATGGCACTGGAGCATTAGCTGAGAGCTTTCATCTTATCTCCAAGTTGGAGACGGAGAGAGACACTGAGGGATACTGGGTCTGGTGAGAGTTTTTGAAATCTCAAAGCCCACTCCAGTGACCGATCTCTAAGGCCACACCTCTACTCTTCCTAAACAGTCCACCAACTGTGAACCAAGCAAATATATGAGCTTATAGGGGCCATTCTCATTCAAACACCACATTCCACGGTAGCTTGAAGACAATAGGAAAGTAACTAAGATCACGTATGTAAGGATTTTTTTTGTTTTGTTTTGCTTTTAGATTTATTTATTATGTCTGTAGGCCAGAGGGGGCACCAGATCTCATTATAGATGGTTGTGAGCCATCCTGTGGTTGCTGGGAACTGAACTCAGGACCACTGGAAGAGCAGCCAGAGCTCTTAACTGCGGAGCCATTTCCACCCTGGTTGATGCTTTTGGGTTTTGGTTTTGGTTTTGTTTGTTTTGGGTTTTTTTGAGACAGGTTTATCTGTATTGCTTTGGAACCTGTGTGGAACTCTCTGTGTAGACCAGGCTGGCCTCAAACTCACAGAGATCCACCTGCCTCTTCCTCCAGAGTGCTGGGATTAAAGGCGTGGCACCAAGGCCCGGCTGATTGTTGCTTTTAAAAAGCAGGTGTGATGTGGTGTTAGTCCAGCTGTTCTCAGCCTGTGGGTCATGACCCCTTGCGGGAGGGGTCCAATGGCCCTTACACAGGGTCACCTAAGACCATCAGAAAACTCAGATGTTTACATTATGATTTATAACAGTAGCACAATTATAGTTACGAAGTAGCAAGGATGTAATTTTATGGTTGGGAGTAACCACAACTCGAGCTGTATTAAATTTAGGGTTGCAGCATCAGGAAGGTTCAGAACCTCACTACTTAGTAAAAAGACAGCAGCCAAAGGGTTCAAAACCTATGGTTCCGGTAAATTATCCCCATCCCTTTAAGTACTTTTTAATTTTGAAATTGGATCAAAATTGCCCAGGTACAGACAGGCCTTAAAATTTTAACCTCTTGCTTAAGTCTCAAGGTAGCTGGGACTGCTAGCCTGGGCCATCAATCCCAGTGTTTTATTTCTGTCATTTTTTCCCCCTCTTAAACTAAAAGCAATTATTAACTGAAAGCCCTTCACCAACCCTGCTTTCAGTTCTGCCTGCTTGTGATGTAACTGGACACCAGCCATGACTTACCTTTGTGCCACAAAACCTTGAATGCTCATCTGTGTAGTGCAGCTGGGGCTCTGATGCTTTTGCCTGCTCTGCTTGCTGATAGGTAGGCCTCATATTTAGTCTGTAAGTTTATAATGTCTAGCATCATTTTGTTCATGCTAGACTACAAATGAATTATAAAGGTTGATTTTAATTTCTCATTAATTCAGAACTTCTCTCTTTGATTTCAATGTGACAGGAATTTGCAATGCTGTGAGATGATACTGTCTTACCATGTCCTCATCTTACAAAAGGCACACAAGGGGAAGGAAACTTACATAGAGTAGCATTGAATCCGTCTTTTTTCCTTCTTGAGTAGTGGTCATTGGATAGATTTTTGTTGTTGTATACTTTCACTTTGAAAGCCCAGTTTGCCCTCTTGAGAATGATGCTGTTTAATTGTAAAAACAAAAAAGCAAGAGTATTCTAGATAAATACATGTTTTCTTGTAAGATTTGGTGTGGTTTGACTTTGGTAGGAAAAGTTCAGTTAACTCAGAAGAACACACACATCCACCCACTACTTTCTAGGTGCTCTCGAGCATACAGAAGACAGCTGATTTGCAGTTCAGGCTTAAGTTTTAGTTTGATATGCTTCTTAACCTTTATGAACAGATGGCCTTATTTTGAGTCACTTGCCAAATGGTCCAACCGCTCATTTTAAAATGAGTAGTGTTCGTCTTCGTAAAGAAATTAAGGTGAGTCCTATGTACTCCTTTGAATATCGATCTCAGGGAATAAGTATTCTTAATGATCTAATCAGTTTTAATTATTTCATCTTCTGAAGACAGCAGGTTGTCTCCTGAGGTATTTTGTGAAACTGAACAATTTTGACAGTAGTAGTCCTCGTTACCATGAAAGTTGGTTTTATAGTAGGGCTTAGTTTATGGTGTGTTCAATGCATATTAACGTATTAAATGTATCTTCATGTGTTCAATAAAGTCAGGATTACTGTTTCTGCAGTAATCCCAGAACATGGGTGCCTGAGGCAGAAGGATCAGTTTTAGGGAAGCCTGAGCTAAGAAGTGCCAGACCAGTCTGAGCTAGAATGAGACCCTGTGTCAAAACAAATTCTTTTTTAATGTCCAAATTCTGGACCCCAAGATTATAATGTATGATTTTTCTAATTATCTTTATTGGACATTGTTTAATTTTTCCAGAGACGAGGCAAAGACCCCACAGAACATGTTCCTGAGATAATTCTGAATAACTTTACAACACGGCTAGGTCATTCTATTGGACGAATGTTTGCTTCTCTGTTTCCTCATAATCCTCAATTTATTGGAAGGCAGGTTGCCACATTCCACAATCAGCGGGACTACATTTTCTTCAGGTTCCACAGGTAAGGGCAGACATTAACTTACAGTTTTTTGTCAGTATGATGTAACAAGTTCATCAAGCTTTGCCATAGAAAATTAGGTTGAATGAACCCAACTGTTGTTTAACTTTTGTCTCTGAAGGTATATATTCAAGAGTGAAAAGAAAGTGGGAATTCAGGAACTTGGACCACGTTTTACCTTAAAATTGCGATCTCTTCAGAAAGGAACCTTTGATTCTAAATATGGAGAATATGAATGGGTCCATAAGGTATGTGATGATTGTTCCGTATGTTAAGGTGTGAGAGAGAATTTCTTCCCCCATGAATTACAAAGGAGCAATCTGATGTGGTATCTTGGCCTGCTGTTAACTTAGATTTGCTTAGCCCAAAGAACAGTGATTTTTTTTTTTTTTTTTTTTTTAAGATTTATTTTTTGTGTATAGTGTTCTGTCTGCATGTATGCCTGCAAGCTAGAAGAGGGCGCCAGATCTCATAACAGATGGTTGTGAGCCACCATGTGGCTGCTGGGAACTGAACTCAGGACCTCTGAAGAACAGCCACTGCTCTTAACCACTGAGCCATCTCTCTAGCCCCAAAACAGTGGTCTTTAGAAGGGTCCAACATCAATGTAGGAAAGGGAAAATCTCAGCCCAGACCTACCATACCAGCTCAGCTTCCGGGGAGTAGGCCTGGCAGTCTCAGCCTGGTACAGTGATTGTCACTATTGGAGAACTACCACTGCTGGACTCAGGAACATTTGGAGGCATCTTAAGATATCTTAATCAGAGTGTCGGTAAAGCATTCTTTTCTGCCTGGTTAGTGGCAGTATGGCCTTCCCATCTTTAAAACTACACACAGACCTGGGACAGAAATTGCCAGGTCTCAGACATACCCATAGTGTTTTGACATTGTTACTCATAATAAAGATGAAAGCCAGCTTTTACTATCTTACCTAAGTTGTTCTTTGTCTTTCTCCCCTTTAATTTTCAGCCACGGGAAATGGATACAAGTAGAAGAAAATTCCATTTATAAAGTACTGAGGGAGGTATTGAATTTTGCTGGACAGGCCTGTCTGGAAAAACTTGGTAAATTATTTACAAAACATCTTTCAAATGGAATCTATTGATTTTATAAATCTTATATTTGAACAAATGACTAAGTGTCATGAATTTCTACTCTGTTGTAGTAAATATAAATGTAATTTTGGTGAGGGTCTAAAGTCCTAAAACTTACAGTCATATCAAATTAGTTGTGAATGATTTTGTTGGAATTCAAACTTTCTAATTTGCATTCGCAAATGAACTTGTAGGCCAGAAAAAGTATTGTTGGTAGTTAGTGTGTAACCCTGATTTAATACAGGTCCCGAAGGCTAGATGCGCAGGACTTTGCACAGTTACAGGTCACGGGAGCTAAACTTTCAGTTCCCATTTCCTTCTCTTTTTTTTTACCCAGTTACCTCATTCAGGTGGTGTTGGTTTTTTTGAGACAGGGTTCCTCTGTGTAGCTCTGGCTGTCTTGGAACTCATTCCATAGACCAGGCTGGCCTGCAGTACACAGGGATCCACCCACCTCTGCCTTTCAAGTGCATGTTACACTACCACCAGAGCTTACCATTTTAACCCATGCTGGTGGCCAACAAACCCTCTCCCCCAAGTGCGAGGATCACAGGCATGCATGGCCATGCACAGCTTCGTGTGTAGGTGGCAGGGGTCTGCACTCCTATCATAATCACACAGCAAGTACTCTGACCACTGAGCCATCTCTCCACCCATATTTGGAATATTTCAAGTAATTCCTGCAACTAAACTGAAAGAAACTAAGTCTTCCAGAAGCCTTGCCAATATAAAGTATTGAAATCTTAAGAGTTGGTTTTGAAAAGATTTAATATACAGCACATTTCATAACAATAACAGGGCCAGAAATTTGTATGCTGTTTTATTGTATGCTACAGCCAGTGTATATAAAATAGTTCAACCTTGTGAGACAGAAATCCATGAAGATTCAGAGAGGTAGATGTTAAGAACTGACAAGAAGGAGAGTGTGTGTTATGGCACGTGTTACAGGCTTTTGTACAGACTTCAGATGTAATTCTCTTCAACAGTCGCTGGTTCATGAAAAGTGGTTTGAGAAACCTGATAGGAGGGGAAGAAAAGATACAGTATCAATAACTTTTTAAAACATCCTTATCACTAATACTTAAAACGGTGCAGTGCAGCAAGCAGTGCAGTGACATCCCCCAGTTCACTCTGGTCCACTAGCAGCCCCTCACTGTGCTAAGCCACTGGGCTTGACAGGTTAGGGTGTGATGTATTTTCAGCTTACTATGGGTTTGCTGTATATACACGCACCGTAAGTCAACCCCTCTATTTCTAGGTGGCTCACTTGAGTATGTATCAGTTTACAGAGGGTTTTCAATTAAATTGAGCTGAAGCCTGTGTATCTGTTAACTTTTGAAGATACAATCTACAAAGGTACTGAAATCCAACTTTCCCCTAGTTTTCACAACTGACGAGTATCATCCTGTTTTACAGTCTTACAGATGATGCCACTAAGACTACTACTGAAATCAACTTTATCAAATTAAAGGGTAAATATAAAAACATGAAGTAAGGAAAATCCAAAGATCCTTTGAAAAATCCCTTATAAGATGCAGTCCTTTCTAATCATCTACACATAGGTGCTGAACATACTTCTGTCAGCAGCATCAGCAACCTTAATGCAGCCCATTAGAGGGATGAATAGACAACACGTTTCAGTCAGAATACATTCAGCAGCTTAAATGACTGGACAATTCATACAGGATAAACACAGATGTCAAAACTGAAGCAAGAGTTGCACACTTAACACTATTATCTTGAAACTATAAAATACAGTCAAGTGTTTGAATATAAGAGAAAGAAAAAAGGCATAAAAACTTCACAGCAGGTTACTATAGAAAGTAGTAAAAGTAAAACCTGTCTTAAAAATAAGGTAAAAAAGTTAAAAATTTGAGTACTTTACAACAAACACTGAAGAAGTATAAAACCTTTGGGGGGGGCATTTAACTTCACTTAATAAGCAAATGGATCACACAAAAATAAAACACCCATGCCCTGAGTGGAAGGCCAAAAATGGGCAGTGATAAGTGTTATTAAAATCTCCAAGTCATTGTTTGGTAGTTTTACCTGTAAAGTACACAGACAGCCACCAAAATGTCAACCTTGCCCATGATCTCAAACTTGGAAACTCATAGTAAGTTAAGCAAATAATGTAAATAATGTGTTACAGCTCAGCTGTAACAATTACTAAAATAGAGATCCTCTCAAGAGGAAACATAACTGGTCATTTCCTCTTTGCACTTGCTGTTACTAAATTGCTACAGTTGGCTTTATTTTTAAAGGATGAGTACAGACTCCAGTGATTTTTCTTTTAATCCATGCCTTTAATGTACACCAGACCATCAATGTAACTTAGAAATGCAGGTCTGAAGCCTCACCTTGGACCCACTTTCAATATGTAAAAATCACTCGTGGTTTTAAAAAGTAGTGCTTTTACATCTAAATACCCTTTCCTTACTCAAAATTGCTTCAAAGCATAATATCTAAAGTTTTCTTTTTCTTAAAGCTAGAATTAACAGCCTTAATCTGTGTTCTTCTCTCAATCATTTATAAATGTAAGTCATTTAAACACTTAGTGTGGACTCTTAAAAAGTTAACATCTTATGTTAAGTGAAAATAAATTAATCTGTAAATATGGAGGAACTGAGTCTAAAAAAGTCTTTAGTAAATCACGGAAATATGAAACTCCTAGAGATCCCCAGGGACTATTGCCAAAAGCCAGAAAATATTAACATTGTTAAATATGAAGGTATGAGCTGGACCATTAGCAGCATTTCTTTGTGGAGAACCTATTACCTAAAAGCAGCTTTATTCCTTCTCCTTATGTTTAAAAAACTTTGGTCATCTTAACTAATCATTATATTTACTGGAACAGGACTTACACTTCCTGGACACTCCCAAATCTACAAAGCCTATGTAACGAGGTATTTTAGGAAGCAGCTTCCTGGACTATACTCAGAATGTTAGTATAAGGGTGTATACTACACACAAAGTATTTTTTAAACAGTTTTAAGTTTGCTTACCAATTCAATACTAGCTAATGTACCAGAGTAAATTACAATTTAAATTAGCCAGAGCAGTTTTGGCCACATCTTTTGGCCTTGGACAATACTCCTGACAGATGTATTCAGAGCAAATGATTTACTGTCTTAACCCTCAACTCCAGGTCACTGCCCACACAAGTACACATCTCTTCTCTCATGTTTTATCTTTGCCCAACAAACAAATAAAGGTAGAAGCTATTCCTTATTCCAGATGCCTGTGCTATGTTTGCTTATTCAGGTACCCCAACGAGTTTATCCAAATCCAAAGTACTGACAGAGTCATTCCTTCTGTAATTTTGCTCAAATTTCAATTTGATGGGTAAATAATTAGTATTTTAGGGGCTCCAAATATACATGCTTTTAAGGCCAGTACTGTACAAACAACGTGCCTGCCTGTCTGTATTAGCAGTGGAGTTTGTGAGTCTCCCATACCTTTTATCAGTTATTACATAACACTCTTTAGATAAAAATAGAAGCAATTAGTCTTCTGACTAGTAATCAAGTTTTCACTGACCTTCAAAAACAAGAAATTTGGGAAACAAAATTATAGGGATAGGGTGCTGTCAGTGCCACAAATAAAAAGACCTAGCTGGGTTCTTCCTTTATATAAAGAAAACTTACCTTAAGATACATGATTACAAAAAGGAGCAGACTTTCTGGGGTCTGAAGGGATTTGTACTTGAAGACACTCCGGTCAGCAGAGGGTCATGTTGGGCATTCTGCAGACAGAACTGTTTCAAGTCTGCAGCTGCCTGAGAAACCTATAAGTAACAATGAGAGTGGAGAAATGTCTGTTAGTAAGGTTTTAATGGTCTCTATTCGTCTGAAAACACTTGAAATAAACAGCACCTCTAAAATAATTGATGACTAACACTTAAAACATTTAGTCAATGAAACTGGTTTGTTTCCTCCACTTACCACAAGTATCAAATGATTCAATATAGAGTTCAATCCCATTATCTGTGAGGCACAGTATGTCTTGTTTTGATGACAGGCTGTTCAACAAGCCCTAACAGCTTGTTTTGTCTCCTGTATAGTCCAGGATGGCCTCAAACATTTATGTGGCAAATAGCCTTGAATGTCTGAGCCTCTTGCCTCTACCCCCTGAGTGCCCCATCAAGCCAGGTTGGGCTCCAAATCGGGGCTTTCTGTATTCATAGGCAAACACTAACAACTGAGTCACATCCCCAGCCCAATAACTTGCCTTTTTTTTTTTTTTAAATTGAAAGAAGTATGTAGCAGTTCAACATAAAAGATTAACATTATAGGGAAACTGTCTTGAAAGCAGACTGGAAATGTGCATGAATGAACCCGAGGTAACTAGCACAGAACTCAGGCAACAAACACTTCACTGTATTCTTCAAATTTATAACCATCCTTATACACATTCATTCATTCAACCACCTACCATTATATATTCTGGCTAGGAAATATAGACTATACGAAACAATACTGAAATCCTATTTGGGTTGCACCGTATCCATGCAGTAACACTGCCAAATCACATCTGAGGCAAATACAGTGTCTCTTAAAGGCAGGCAATTAAGAAAGGTGGTTCAGCTGGGCCAGAGTTTGATTTCCAGAAAGGAACATAAAGGTGGAAGGAGAGAACCAACTCTGTAAGATTGTTAACTACCTCCCCATATGCACCTTGGCACATATGCCCACATACACCATGCATACACAATTTTTCTGAAATTAAAGCTGTTAAACTAAGTCACACTTAAGCTTTTCAAGTCACCTGAATGTGGTGATAGAGCTGCCTCCACCTGTTACACTGGCTGCACCTTTAGGCCGATGACTAGGGTTTCTTATTGGCTAGCTGTCTTAATTATTAACCCAACTCTAAGTATTTCCACGTTGTCTGGTCTACTGGAGAAGGGTCCCGACCTCTTTCTCCTTTGCAGTCTCACGTGGCGACTGCGTCTAACTCTGACTACGTTTCCCAGAATTCTCATCTCCTAGACTTGCCTATCTTGCTGCCTTATTGGCCAACAGTGTTCTATTCATCAACCGATAAAGAGACATGTACAGAAGAACATTTTCCATCACCTGAAACTGGGCAGAAGGCGGTCAGTGTCAGGTTTTTTAACTAAAACAGTTGAGTTCAAAGCCAGCTACTTGGCAAGACCCTATCTCAAACTCGTTGATTACAAATACCAATACAACAAACTGAATGGTTATGTAGACCATGAATAACTAAAAATGCACCCAAACCATCTAATTCCCTTGTTTACTTCATTCTCAATCTCCGCTGCCTCTAGGGTAGCAACAAATGTCTATTACCCTGGTGTTGTGTCCTGACAAATACTCTATGTCAAAAGCCCCTCAGATGACAGCTATATTGTGACCAGTTGGCTTATACAATAATTCAGGACAGTAAGCCCCATGTTTGCCTCCGCATATGAGGTTCCTGCAGTCTTTAAATAGTTGTATAAACAGCAATACCCTGCTTTGCCCCTTAAAATGTGTGCAGGGTAAAGAATCCGTTTTCACAGTATCACACCATTTGGCTTTGTTCACATCCATCAGCAAGCATCAAGTGCCTGTTAACTACATTCCCACAAATTTTCAAGTACCATATGTATGTATGGACTATCCTCTAGGCACTAAAATAATAAAGGAAAGTGATGAATGATTGACAGGGTAGTCACTTCAGGAAGGTGTCCGTCCCTGAGTTGCCATTTTAGCTGTGATTTCAATGGTAACAAACCTAGCTCAATAACTAGTGAAAAGACAGCATTCTAAACAGGCACCCTGAGATGCAAACCGGAAAAGCTGCTAGTACCCAAGGCACAGTAACACTCACCATCCGGGAGGCTGACTTTGGTAGTGACATTATTAGTCAGGCTTCCAGGTGTCCTGACTACCGGGTCTGGTAAAACACTTGTTCTAACTACCAGCTAAATAAATACAATAGTAAGTTTATGCTCGCTTTGAAACGCACACACAAAAAGGGTTCCTCGCACAAACATGGCATGGATGATGTGTAATGGCACCCAACCTAATTTAGGAAGAAACTCGTTTAAAATTCCTGAGTGAGATGTGCCTTGTCAGGAGAACTCCAAAAATGTGTTTATTTGTGGTGGTGGTTTAAATGATTCCAATCCGAAGCCTTCAGAAGAATTAAGCCACACAGGCAAGATGAAGCTAGGAAGCAGCCACTGCACAGGTAGGGTTTTCAAGGAGAAGGAAGTTCTAGTCTGAGAGCTCATTCTTTGGCCAGCAGGGCTAAGCACCACGGCTCTAATCATTACCTTCACCGGCCTTTCCTTGTATTTCCTACCCCAACGCACTACTGTTTTCTTCTTGGCCCACTTTAGAATAGTTAACATATATGTTATAATAGTTAACATACATGAACGATGATGAGCAACAGGCTGCTTCGAGTTCAGAGCTCTACCAGGCCAAGACTGAACCGCACTTGATGAGGTGAGAATTTGATTAGGGAAATGGAGTTCAAACCGACTGATGGGCGTCTCCCGGGCTCCTAAGGCTACCGCAAGGGAGTTGAGAGGTCTCCAGCATGTCTACTTGGGAGCTACATAGAAGTTCTCTCCACAAAGCACGTTAGAACTAAAGGCTAGCCTGCTGAGCATGAAAGCAAATCACCCTGGAAGCCGGCAGCGTCTGGCAGGGTGATTTTAATCACGGGAGGCATTTCACAGGTAACCCGACCTACTGCGTGAGAACGAAGCCGAACTGTTTAGGGTTTTTACAACAGGCCAACAGTCCTCCGAGCTGCGTTTGGGGACCTGGTCGTCGTCTATCAACACGGCCAGCGGGCCTTTCCCCAAAAGTCAACAGTCCAAGAACAGCGATCCTGACCGACGCCAAGTGAGCCCAAGCCAGGCGGCGCTACACATTGCCCGCTAGCAAGGTCAGGGGCGAGCGGGCGGGCGGGCGAGCTGTGCCAGCCGGCTGGAAGCGCCTTTCTTTGTTCGCGGCTGTACTGGGCACGGGTGGCGTCCTCGGGTCCGGGACGTCTCAAGTTACCCGGGCAGGCTTGGAGTGGCCGGGGGGCGCGCGGGGGGGGGGGGGCGGGGGGGGGGCGGGTGGCCCCCTTTGCCCGCCCGCCCCCGGCCGCGGGGCGTGGGGCCGGGGCAGCCCCGCCTGGGTGAACCGGCTTGGGAGGGAAAACGGCAGCCGGGGGAAGTGGAGGCCGGCGGGGGCAGGGACAGCGGGATGAAGGTGAAGC